AGTTCTAACTATCCAGTAATGGAACCACCTTAACTTAAAATTACTGAAGGACAAAACCCAGAGTAGACCATCTTAAATTCATGATTGCCTTCTTTGGTTGTGCAAGCTGTAGCCCAGTTTAATAGTGCCTTATAATTTTACCTGGCAGTTATATGAAACAACCCAGGAACACAAAGGAACAATATTGACCCTTCAGGAGAAGTTGGAAGCTCTAGAAAGGTGACAGTATGCTTAGAATGTAGTCAAATGTTTGGCTCACATGTTAATCAGCTTGTAGTTCATAGATATTAAAATGTTATTGATTGTCAATATTATGTTTGTCATTTTTTTTAGGAATTCCACTGATCACCAGAAGATTTTAGATGAAGCTAATGGCAAGCATAAAATGGTTCTTGATAAACTTAATGAGGAGAGAGCCTTGTTAGAGGTTTGTTAAGCAATCAGCATTGAATACTATATAAATTATGATGACACAAGAAAGTTGATGGACTGAAAAGCTGTTTGAACACACTGTTGATTGCCATTTAAGAACCCAAAGCTACCCTGACAAACCCTAACAAACCTCAGCAAATACTAAGATCAAACCAGGCTATGCAAAATTGTTAGATTGAAGATCTAGGAAATTCATTTTTTATGCCTCTTTGATTAGTATCAAGTTGTAAGAATAATGTCTACTTGCTTATTAATATTATTATATTTTATTATATGGCTTTGGCTTGTGGCCGATATAACACGCACTCTGATTGGCTAAGCACGAGATCTGAGCGGTCATTATGCAGCTGTAATGCCCACGGGCCAATTACGGATTATGCAAATTAGGAACAGCCCGGCTCGGAAAATTCAAGCGCATTGAAATGATGAAAGCCGATTAAAAACAGTAAGAGAAGTAAATTTAATTCTGAGTAGCTAAAAGTTTAGGGAATTTTCCTTAATGAAATTTATATAGAAGTCGTTTTTGACTTACCGGTAACCTTGGCAAACACTAGTGAAAAACAATCAAAGTTTGCCGAGTGTTGAGTAAAGCTAAAATCGCTAAGTGAAAAACACCAT